CCCTCCCGCCGAGGCCGCTCCCGCCTGGGCCCTGGCTGCCTTCGAGCGGCCGCTGGCCAGCGTGCGCGGGCCGGGGCTCCGGGAGGACGGGGCTGCTCTGGAAGGCCGTCCCGCCGTCCTGGCATTCGTAGGGCCTCTCCGGGCTGTGAATGGCCTGGTGCTTGAAGAGGTTGGCTCGCCGGCTGAAGGCCCTCCCACACTCACTGCACTCGTAGGGCTTCTCACCGCTGTGCACCCGCTGGTGCTGACTGAGCCCCGAGCACCCCCGGAAGGCCTTCCCGCACTCTTTGCACTTGAACGGCTTCTCCCCACTGTGGATGCGCTGGTGGTGGATGAGCTGGGAGACGCCCTTGAAGGCTTTCGGACACTGGCTGCACGTGTAGGGCTTCTCGCCGCTGTGGGTGCGCTGGTGCTCGATGAGGTTGGAGCTCCTGCTGAAGGTCTTCCCGCACTTGCTGCACGCGTAGGGCCGCTCGCCGCTGTGGATGCGCTGGTGCTCCAGCAGCGCAAAGCTGCGCCGGAAGAGTTTCCCGCACTCGGAGCACTTGTAGGGCTTCTCGCCGCTGTGGATGATCTGGTGCTTGACGAGGTTGGAGCTGCGCGTAAAGGTCTTCCCGCACTCGCTGCACACAAAGGGCTTCTCGCCACTGTGGATGCGCTGGTGCTCCAGCAGCGCGAAGCTGCGCCGGAAGAGTTTCCCACACTCGGAGCACTCGTAGGGCTTCTCGCCGCTGTGGATGACCCGGTGCTTGATGAGGTTGGAGCTGCGGCTGAAGGATTTCCCACATTGCTGACAGAGGTAGCGCCTCTCCGCACCTTTGGAACCCTGCTGCCTTAGAACTGACTCCTGCCTACCACTGGGGCTACTTCTCTGCTGCATCTCTCTTGCGTCCCCTGAGGAGCTGCTCTGACCGCTCTCCCTGTGGGGGCCAACCCCGCCGGAACCTGTCTGGGGAGAATGAGCATGGTCCGTTCCGAGCTCCAGCGCTTCCCCTGGCGGCCTGGCTACCTGGCTCTTGTTACCGGCCTGAAGATCGGTCCTCGGGAGTTCTTTTCGGCAATGCTTCTGCTTTGAAACCAATGTCCTGTTCTCTATCCCGTCACCTATACGGATAGAGAACACCCACCGGTGTCACTCTCCCTGCGACTCTATTTAGGGTTCGTTCTCCCTCCTCACGCCCACACCAAAGCTGACAAGGAATGTATCAGGAGATGAGGACGTGGGGGGAGACCCAAGATGACTGTCCGCAGACCGGACGGCAAGAGGGGGAAAAGGTGGGAATGAGCTGGAGGCAGTGGTGTCTCAACGGGGACTCCCTGTGAGATTTAAGTCTGCCACAAAGGGGAATTTCCCACCCACAGCGGTCACGCTGCCCTCCTTCGGCTGCTGCTCTTTGTGACTGGCTCAGGCAAGCCAGCCCAGTGCCCCACACTCACCTGTCTGCATCCCCGCAGCGGCCCGTGTTCTGCAGGTGTCTGCTGCCCGGGGCCCCTCCCCTTGTTCCAGCCAGGAGACCAGGTGAGGCTTGGAGGATAAAAATCCTGCCCGTGGAAAGGAAGTGGATCAGTCACTCTTGAACTCAGCCCAGCCTTAGCATCTTCACGAACAGAGAACAAGGAACCCTCTAAGAGAGCGCCACTGGGAAGGTCCAGAGAAAGGACGGAGTCTCTTTGAGGAAGCAAAGGGATTTGAACGTCCAGGGGCCAGGTGGGCATGGGGAGTCCGAAGTCGATGGTGACTGGGGCCAAGAGGATAACGATGTTACTATCTGGCCTGCGGGGAGGGCAGTAGGCTTGTGGGAAATGGAGCCGGGATCCACGGGGGGCAAGGTCCCGGGGAGTATCAGGAAGCAGACAGAGCTGAGGAATGCCTGTGCCTCGAGAGTCAAAGCCCCGTGTCCATCATCAAACAGAACAGATGTCTCAGTTCCTTATGCCAAACTCAACTGACGATTCCAGAACTCCCCTTTGAGCCCTGGATCTGCACAGTGAGGGTCAGAAACTAGTCTCCCTCTGTGTGGTTAGATTAGGGAGATTAAATCTGTAGGGAAGAAATGGAGCAAGCAGACCCCCTGCAAGCCCGCTGAAGTGGGGAAGCCTGCCCAGCTCCTTTCCGGATTTCTCCAGGCTGGAAAACCAAGTGCATGTCTTAACCTTGATACAAGGAAAAGGAGCAGCTAAACTCCGTAACGTGAAATGAATGTACAATTCAACCTTGATAAGAATGAATTAAGTCTACAACAGTGCATATAAATATTTAAGAATAATACGCATCTATCTTTTGGATAGAAGAGGTTTACTTAACCCATGAGTTTATATGCAAAATAAATTTGATGGGGGCCCACGCATTTACCACTTACAGGTCAAAACCATTTTAGCTAAAAACTGGTCTACTGAGACAAAAGCTGGGCTCCAGCAGATTACTGCTCCGGTGGGAAAATGCATTTATTCTTGGGCTCACAGTAACCAACAAACAAAGAAACTTAAAAATAAATCGAGTTCAGAGACAGAGTAGGGGGATTGGATGTGCGTGTCAGATCCTTACCCAGTGACACCAAATGACGATAGTTCTCCAGCATCACTCTCTTGTAGAGGATCCTTTGTCTGAGGTCCAGAAGCTTCCATTCTGTCTTGGTGAAGTACACGGACACGTCTTCAAAAGATACTGGCACCTAGAACAAGCCATTCCTGTGGCTGCAGGGGAGTTCACCGCCATGAGTCCCAGGATGAGCGGGAAGCAACTAAACATGGGGCGGGGGTACCCAGAGAACTCAGCAGTTAAGGGGAGACTTGGAGTTGCAAGAGTTGTGAGGCCGGGACATGAAGAGGTGGCAGATGGAGACAGGGAGCCCCACTCACCTTGGGTCTGGCCTTCAAGAGAATGGCGGCCATCGCAGGGGTGCAAAGAAGCTAAGGGGATCGGAAAAAGCCAAGTATGAGATGAGGCCCGCCCTACTCCAGCATGACCTCATCCAAGTTAGGTCCCATTCACAGCTACTGGGGGACAAGACTTCAGCACATCTTTTTGGGGGGACACAAGCCAATCCATAACACTTTCCCAAACTGAGCTTCTGTCCTCTCTCCTCACCTGGGTGGTGGGCCACCAGACAGGGAGTCCTGCCCGCCTCGTACGAGGCTTGGCTTCCTCCTTCTCATTTCCAGCACCGCCACCCCGACTTTCCAGCCACCCCTGGAAGCTCCACTGCCAACTCCTCTTCCTCTCAGCTCAGGGTCCTAACAGAAAAACTCCAGAACACGCGTGCGTGCGCGCGTGCACACACACACACACACACACACACACACACACACACACCCCACTCCACCTGAAATAGACCTGCTCTCAAGGAAAAGAGAAAGACCAGAAGAGTGAGATGCACTTTGGAGGGACCCACAAGAGCTGGGGGAGGGGTGCCCTCTAAAGGAGTGACCTTCAGGCTGAGAGCTGAAGGCTGGGGGTGAGCAAAGAGAGGAGCAGGCTAAGGGCGTGGCCCATATCTGGCCCTCGGATGGGCCCAAGCTCAGTGGTCACGGTGCTGAAACTGGGGGCAGGGTGGGGAGTGCAGAAGGTGAGGCCATGTGGGCACTCTGGGGACAGACAGGAGCTGGGGCTCATGCTAAGGGCAGGAAGAGCGTGTCACTGCCAAAGTGGACAGAATCAGATTTCGCCACATCAGTTCTCAAGACCAGAAGACAGTTTGCTCCAACGCTGTTTGCACCACCCAACTGGAGACCACAAGGCGGAACTCCCCCGTGGGGAAGCATAAGAACCAGGCGGTGGCTGGCAGGGGAGTGGGCCGCGAATGCTCATGCTGTCTGGGCGACCGCAGCTTATTTCTGCTACAGGAGAGAGGGTCGCACAGTATTTAAACTGCGGCGAAGTCCCTTATCACCAGTGATGAGCTGTCCATCAGTATTGGCCCAGAATCAATAAACTCATGTATCTGACGAAGAAATATATGCTAATCAGATAGGAAGAATCCCTTAAGGTGGGATGGACACTACAACCACTGGGTGAAAGACCATGTGATGTCAAAATGTCTTCCCCTATTTACTGCTGGTCACAAGACAGAAAGCTAACCTACCGGTTGGACGGAGCTGGGACCCACCTGCTGCGGGGATGCCACCATGGGAAGCGTGCGAGGCTCTTGTCAAAGTTTGACCCCATTCTAACGCAGCCTTGGGAACCTGCACGCAGTTTATAAAGGATCTTGGGGACTGAGGGACCACTTACACACCACAAGGAAGCAACCGGCCCAGTCCAGAAGGTGGGCTGTACCCGGCCTCCTCTGCGTGTCAGTGTCATGGGGAAAAGAGAGACTGTTCTAGAGGAGAAGAGGTGTACACGGCCAATAGTCAAGTGCAACGGAAGTCCTTGATGAGATGCTGGCGTGCAGGACAGAGGAGTCAAAGGCACTGTGGCTGTGGGGCCCTGCGCTGCTCGTGTGTCGCATGCATAACGGCACCGGGTCGTGGAAGGAAATGTCCTTCTTGAAGTACTTAGGGAGAAAATGGCATGTAAACTTAATTTAAAATATCTCAGTAAAAACAAAGGAAGGAGAGTAGGGGGAGAGAGAGAGAGAGACCGAGAGAAGGAGGGAGGGGGAAAGGAAAGAGGAAACAGAAAGAAAGAGAGAAACAAGCAAATAAGGCAAGCTCCAGGCCTCTGGCAACCCTGCGAGGTGGACCCGTGTTCTGTTAGACTACTCGCTTTATTTGTCTGTCTGCTTAATGGCGTTCACAATTAAAAGGGAAAATAGTTGGTGGTCCCTCAATAAGTAAACATAGTTATCACACCACTCAGCAATTTCACTCCTGAGTGTATGTTCAAAAGAACTGAAAACAGGTGTTCACATCAAAACGAATGCATCCAGCTTAACTGCAGCCTGATTGAGAGCAGCCAGAAGGCGGAAAGAACCCAAGACAGTGACCAAACAAAACGTGGTCTATACACACGATGGGATGTTATTTGGCCATAAAGAGGAGTGAAGCGCTGATCCATGCTACAATATGGATGAACCTTGGAGACATCATGATCAGTGAGAAAAGCCAGACATGGACACAAAAGGCCACATCCTGGATGATTCCATTTATGTGATGTAATCTAATATTTCACAAGAGCTGTCTTGACCTAGTTTTGAAGTTATGTGTAAAAATTCTCTTTTCTCTGCCTTTCTTGGGCAGTTTGCTAAGCCCCGACCCCAACTATCTCCGTTTTTGGGAGCTCTCTCTCTGGGACCACCAAACACACTCCCCCAATTCCCCCTTATCTGGGCCAGGTACCAGACAACTAGGGACAGCCCCAGTGCCCCAGAGCCTGAGAAATCATCCAAATTAGCCAATGCACAGGGACCCTGCAGAAACTACCTACCCCTACCCCAGGTTCCCCCCCACACACGTGGCCCCACATGGCCACCTCCTCTCCTTCAGAGCTGTAAGTAACAAGGAAGTTCTGCCTTTCATTGCTCTGAATGTCACGACCCGTGATTTGCTATCAAGAAATCTTTAAGTCTTGGGGCGCCTGGGTGGCTCAGTCGTTAAGCGTCTGCCTTCGGCTCAGGTCACGGTCCCAGGGTCCTGGGATCAAGCCCCGCATCGGGCTCCCGGCTCAGCGGGAAGCCCGCTTCTCCCTCTCCCGCTCCCCCTGCTTGTGTTCCCGCTCTCGCTGTGTCTCTCTCTGTCAAATAAATAAATAAATCTTGAAAAAAAGAGAAATCTTTAAGTCTTATAAATCGTGTGACACCTCCAGCACCGGAGGGTCAGAGAGCAAGCAGATCAGTGGGTGCCAGTGGCTGAGGGGGAGGGCGCTGGGAGCAACTGCTTCATGGAAGGGGTTTCTCTCTGGGGGGATAAAAAGGTTCTAGAACTAGAAAGAGGTGGTGGTTGCCCAACATTGTGAACGTATTTCATGCCACTGAATTGTTGGTTCTAAAGTGGCTAATTTTATGTTATGTGAATCCCATCTCAATAAAAAAAGGGGGGAGGCAAAAGGTGTCACTGTCAAGTAATCCTTCTGATGTCCACAGGTTATGCTTCATGATGACATGCCGTCAGCCCCCGGGGGACCGGCACAAGCTAAACGTGTGTGTGCGGGGGGAGAATACTGATAACAGCAAGGCTTTTCAGGCCGCTCCGAAAATGTTCTGAAAAACAGCACGAGCTTCTTTTTTCCTTACCGTGACTGTGCTGCCAGGTCATGATCCATTTTGGAAAATAGACAAGCCGAAAGGAAGAAATGTTCTCTCTAGCCACCCCCCGACACACATGCTGGGGTCCCTTCCAAGACCCCAAGAGAGAAGAGATTGTTGAGCTGTGACTTCCTGAGAGAAACACACTACGGACAGGGGTAGCCTGTAGACGGAGACCAACACTGGAGTTCAAAGGCACAGGGCGCATCCAGGCACCACCATGCGAAGTGGTCACACCCAAGGGTCCGTCCTTGAGACCTAGTCTCCTAAAGTCAGCATACTTTCAAATCCTGGAAAGTAAGATATGGCAAGCTCTCCTCACAGACCCTAAGGCCAAGTAACGCCCCGGCAGGAATGGGGTGACACTCCTGAGCATGTGCATAAGGAAGAATCAGGAAGGACACCGTGGAACTGGAGAGCGGTTTCTCCTAAGAGCCTGGTGGGCTGCCAGAACAAAGGAGAAGCCGAAGGATGAGTCCAGGCCCCGAAGCTCAGGTCTCCCCGAAACCCGTCACTAGGCATACAGGTGGAGGTCCATCAGACATCGGTGCCTCAGGCAAGAAGCCAGGAAGGCCCTGTCAGCCTGGGTAACCAGGGACCGTCTGCCAGCCTCCTCCAAGGCTGGTCCACCCTAAGGAGGGGAGCAGAATCCCACCGTGCTTGCTGACTGGCCCAAGTAAAGCCGAGTATGTGGGGCCACCCCCCTGGGGGAGGAGAGGAACAGTACTGCCAACTGAAATGCATCATGGCTCAAAAAAGGGAGAGGCAGTGGGGGCGGGGCGGGGGGGGCTTCAGTGCTGATGCCTACAGAAGACCAGGAGATGGAGCTATTTCCCCAGAAAAAGAAAACAGAAAACAAACAAACAACATGAAAGGCAGTCGGCAATCCCACGCAGGCAGGATCGGGAATTGGGGCTCTTCCATCTGCCGGGAGTGACGCAGAGCCTCTGCAGTCAGGCTTCTTCCTTCCTGGTGAAACTTCCTCTGAGGTTTGGCAATTCAAGACCCCAACTGCCTCCTCCTTGCTCTAGTAGTCTTTCCCCGGGGGGAACACATCACTTGCCACCCACCTGGTGGAAAGGCCTGGAGACCCAGGGCCTAGGGAGGCCACAGGTCAGCCCAGGGCCTCCCCACTGCCCGACCCAGCAAAGCCCTCTGAGCATCATCCTTGCAACTGGTGTCTCCCCTGCCCTGGGGGGCGGGGGCCACAGGCTGAACTGGTCATAAAGAGGGCTACCTCCTAATGGGGTTCTGTTGTTCCCTGCTCATGGCCCTCCCTGGGGTGCCCGTCTGACCTGGCCCTCCCCTCCCCTCCCATCTGCTTGCTCCCTACTCCTGCCACACTGTCTTCTGAGCAGTCCCTCCCCCACACCATGCCACTCATACCTCAGGGCCTTTGCATGGGTTCTTTCCTCTCCGTGGAATATTCTCTCATCTCCTTCAAGTTTTTCAGAAATACCACCGCCTAACCACCTACTTAAACTTGCAACCTAGCTCCTTACCTGCCTTCCTCTGCTCTGTTTTCCCCATGGCACCTACCACCATTTAACACAGTCTCTAATTCTGAATTTCACATGTTTGCTGTTTGTTGTCTGTTTCCTGCCACTAGAACTGGCCCCGCCGCAGGGCGAGTTCTGCTGTTTCGCTTCTGACATGCCTGCAGCAGCCTGGCCCACACTGGCTGCTCAGCGAGTATCTGTTGCACCCGAGGACTGCTGAACAACTAGTTCCCCGGCTCAGCTCGGTTCCCTCCCTCTCCTGCTCTCAAGGGCCTTCCATCCCACCCCTGGCTTCCTCTCCTTACGCCTTTTCCTGGTGTGCTCCTCACCACCAAGGGGCACAACGCCCCGCCCTTGAGAGCCCCCGCAATACGTCCGGGACCCACACGGCCTGTGCCTGCTGAGTTCACCAGGTGCCCCTCGGCAGGAGTGCCGCGACCTCACAACGCCAGCCTGCCCAGCGCTCCCAAACACAGGGGCGCAAAAATCCAAACTTACCCGCCGGGTGGCCGGTGCTCTCTTGCCAGTCCCAGGGTCAGAGGCGAACCGCAGTCAAAGGAGAGAAACTGGGAAACACCGGCTGCCTTTCCCAGGGCCCTCTCCCTCGCCCCCTCGCCACCTGCCGAGACAGGGCCGCCGCAGCCCTGCCAGGCCGGCGTACTGGGGCTCCGCGGGCCACCGGGCTGTTCGCCACCCCCCACCCCCGCCTCTGGCAGGCCCGAGGCCAAGGCTGCCGCCTCCGAGAAGCCCGCCGGGACAGCGGCCCCAGGAGGTGGCGGGATTCCCTGACGGGTCTCGACCTGGTCCCTGGGCGCTGCTCTCGGGGGGCAGGCGCGTTCTGCGAAGCCGTCAGTCGTCTGTCCCGAGCGGACCAGCAGGGCCCGGCCCGCGGGCGGGGAGCGGGCGGGGCCGGGGCGGCGGCGGCG